CTGACCAACATGGATGGAGATGCACTCACGCTGTTAAAAGGAAACAAGAAAAATTGTAATATTAGGTTGTGGTAGCATTTTGAATTTTCAGTAGATTTAAAAAAATATTTCTAGTAACATGCAGGTTGTCTTCAAATTTATCAGAGGTCACCTCCCTAACATGATAAAAATGATTTTAAAGAAAGCACCTGCTACAAATGCTGCATATGGGTGTGGCCTGAATAATGTTGCACTGTTGCATATGGTGCAAGTCCATTGTTCCCACAGGCATGCTTAAATAAATTTTCCATATTTAAAAAATATTCAAAGCACAGATTTTATAAAATGAAGTTAATTAAATGATTTAAAATTAAATCATTAATTGGAATCAATATTACTACCACCTTCCCCTTTAAATAAAGATAAGAGTTTCTTCTAAATATGATTTAGTATTTCAACATGGACATCTGCACTGCAGCTGAGGCTAGAAGCCACACCCTTCTGCAGACTATCTGCAGAATCCATCTGTACCAGGGGGTTGGAAGCTCAGCAAGGGCTGACTCCTGCCTTGCTGAATTTGTGGTGCCTGGTGTTAGCCTGCACTGTCTGCTACATTATTTAACAGAGCAAGCTCTATTTCCAGAAACTGCCTACATGATCTCATTGTGCCATTCTGCCAGTTTTCCTCCTCTGAGCCAGGCTAGGACCATATGCCTAAATTGAAATGAATTAATGAAGATGCATTCGAACAAAAGACAGCTGGACACAGAGTATAATTCTTCTTTGTCTGCAGCAATTTCATTACTTTTTAAAAAAGTTTCCCCAGAATTTTCTCCACTGTAAAAAACTGAAAAATTATGAGTATCTTTATTTTTTATGAGTTTCTTTAAAACAACAGTTCCTAAATTAGAAACAAATATCACATGAGAAGCTACCAAAGAACCCAGTGAAAGAATAATGAAATATATATTTTAAAAAACAAAATAGTACCTATTTTAATTGAGATTTTTCTACTCACCGTAAAATGTTCATACTAATCACATTCAATAGATATTTTCTTCTCTATGGTCTTTATGGCTACAGCTTCTATTGTCTGTCCATTGTCTCTTCACTGACACGGGGGGGGGGGGGAGGGGCAGGGAAGGGCGTTTCCCTGGGTCCTGAACATTGGGGTACCCTGGCTCACTCACACACTGGTCTTTTTCATTGAACATGCGGCCAAGACACACACACACACACACACACTCTCTCTCTCTCTCTCTCTCTCTCTCTCTCTCTCTCTCGTCAGTCAGGGTGGGGTAGCCAAGGGCCAGACTTTAAAGGGCTTGTCAAATGAATTGTGATTTTGCTCCTCAAGTAAAATTATTTCATCTAAATGTTAGCAGTGAATGAAAAGCCTTTTAACGCCTACAGTTCTGCAATGATGAAAGACTTTTCACTAAGTCTTCTCTTGACAGAAGAGGTTTAGCAAGAGTGAACCCCGCCTAGTGGCTCCAAGGCCAGAGAAGCCAGAAACAAACAACGCCCCTGCGCCGCCCTGACGCCGGCACCAACAGAAACTAACCACTTTCCCCCATTAATATACGGGTATCTTTCTAAAATGCCGACTAACCAGCGAGGGAACTTTTTTTTTTTTTAAACTAACCCAAGGCTCCGCTCTATCCCAGTCCTTCTCTGCCCCCAACTCCTCCCGGATACACCCACCGACCCCTGGTCTTTTGGGCGACTCCTCCTCTCCCAGTCCCTCGGGAAACACGCGAAGAAGAAAAGAGCCTCTTGGAGTCACACGAATACAGTGTACACATACCCGGCGGCCAAGCAGGAGACGCCGCGATCTCTTTCCCTGCCCTAGACCCTTTCATCTCCAACAGATGGGCTGCTGTGGCTTGGAAAGGCTCAGATAACAAAAACCCTTCCACGTCGCCTTTGTTCTCCCCCGCGGTTCTGCGGCGCCCTGGGCGCAGTTCTTGCTGGGCTGGTGCACTCCGCACTGCGGCGGCGGCCGGCTCCAGGATTTGGGGTAGACGAAGGTTAACCGTGCCAACAAAGCGTAAGGCTACCCTTACCAAAGAAGTCGTAAAGGGAATGGGGCTTCAGATTTTCCAATAGACCCTGGAAGACTGACCCCACCCAACGGCCACAAAGACCCAGGGAAAACAAATTCTTACCATGGTTGCTGCTTTGAGGCTGCCGAGCGGATGGCGGAGAGGAAGAGGAGAGGTTGTTGTTGCTTCTTACAGCGCGACTCTTAGGCGGTCGATGTAAGAGAACCTGCGGCACATGGGCGGATGCAGCTCCCTATATACAACTCAGTCACCATGGGGATGGGCTGGGGCCTTTTCCAGTTGGTCCAGACCCCTCAATCTGCCCAGAGAAGCCACGACAGGAGAGTTGTGATTGGTGCAAACGACATGGGATGAGGTAATTTCTCCCCCACCCCCTTTTCCCTAGCATCCATAGACTGTTTGCATCCTTCAGACAAAGAGACCGAGAAAAAACAGTCGAGCATCCATTGTGGGGTGGGGCTGAAAAGGGGAGTGCAAAAAGGAAGAAAGAGAACTGGGGTCGGATAATTTTATGTTGCTTTAACCTCAAACTACAGTTAAAATCACCAATGTAAGGTTTTTTCCCAACACTTAATCGCAGAATTTGTGTTGTGATGAAATATTTAGTGGAAAATTACTCCCAGTTCCTCCGTCAAAGTACAGTATATTGAACTCGACCATATTCAGCGAGGATTCAACATTTCTAATTGCTTAAAAATAAAGTAGCAGAGACGACGGGAATGACGCTTAAAATGGCTTGGGTAAATGTGATTTTTTAAAGGTTCAATAATAGAGCCATCCAAAATGGTTTCCCTGGTTCCAGTAATTTATTTTCAGACCTACTTTTGCTCCCCTCCCCGAAATAGCTAAACAAAAATGGAAGATGGAAAGAATAACCATGCTAAATATGGAAGCACACAAGTGATTTTAACATGGCAATAATTAAGATCTAATGAACATACCGCAGTTAAAGAGTTTACTAGAAATATTCCTTTACCAGAAGTCTATGTAATATGAATCATGTTTCCTGATAAAGAATTGAGAAAATACAAGGAGAAAGAATTGAGTTGAGAAGCTAGTACTACCTGTGCATGCAGTTATATTTTACATTGTTCTGTTTTCTGAAATGAGAAAAATAAGTGAAACACCAAATTAAAAAGGAGAACTGTACAGTGGAAAAGGAAGACCATTTTGTAATGTTGCCTCCATCCACAGACAACTGTGTGATGGTAGCTCAATAACTGCATTTCTTTTTTTACGGATCTTATATGAATTCAGTAAAACTCTGAGAGGCAACTGTGGGAACTGTAGCCAGCCTCACACCGTTGCTATTCAACTAGAGACTGGTGGTTGCTCAATTGCCTCTTGGGACAAAAAGGCTTTGCTTTCACCCCTTAGGAAATGGATTGCAGTAACATTCTTTTGCTACTTGGAAAGGCTCCATTATCAACAAGGATAGGCTATGCAGAATAAGACGGGACTGAGTACTCCTGACATGGCTAATGAAATCTCAGAGGTAAAGAGGTTTGTAATGGTCACGAAGTTGAAAATTTGTATTTTCCCTTCGGTTTTCAGTGACATATTTTTAGGGTCTGCAGCACCATTTACAGTGCTCTGCAGAGCTCATTCATTCCTGCTGGGTTGGCCAGCAGAGCTGGGCTGAGAGGGAGGGGCTTGAAGACAGCTGCTACAGGTTGTGGTGTTACAGTGGTGGCCATGTAATTTTCTAGCCTGCTATCCACAGCTCTGCTTTACTTACTCTAATTTGCTTCAGTAGTCTTCCCTGGGAGAGGGGGAGGGACCCAACATACAGATTACTTTATCTACTTCTAGCGTAATTCATAGGAAAAATAATCTTTAACATCATCTTATCTTTCTTTAGCAAATAGAAGTATGTATCAGTAAAAAGACAGGAAAATTAAGAAGAACTTGAATGCTTCTTTCTAAGCTCAGAAGTACATTTAAGAAAAATAAGAATTAAATGTCATGGGCAAGTTTAAAGATTAATTAAGTAGCTCATTAAAAATATTTCTTTTAAAATTTTAATAATGAAATAAATTAGACACTGCTGCACCATGGTAAAGTGTACAAATCTTTTGGGAATGAAAGGCACAGTCTTGAATTTTATTTTCTTTACAATATAAAAAATATGTCATTGCCCAATGGTCTCAATTCTTTGTGCAATTTATGCTGAGGATTAAATAAAAGAGAGGAGGGTTCTTGCAATTGATTCTTTGTAATTCTATCTCAGAGCCATTCTGTTCCTTATGTAAATGAGGATTTTTTTTTTCTCCCTCTGGGCATAAGTAACAATAAGATCTAGGTCACAAATAGACTATATGAGCACTGATAATCTTAAATATATAAATGGGAGAGTAGAGGAAATAACTAATTTATTTTTGTTCCTCATTTAATTGCATGGAAACTATGGGAGGCAAAAAAAAATTTTTTTTTACTAGTTTATTTATCTTTACTGCCAATTTACATAAAATATTCCACTAATGGATTCATTCTTGTTCACAGTAAGATTAGCATAAAACATTTTTTCCCTTTCATAATATTGTGGAATTTAAATTATTTCTTCACAATCCTGGCCACTGTGGTTCCATTGATTGGAGGGTAATGGCATATACCAAAAGGTCTCGGGTTCCACTCTGGTCAGGCACATGCCTAGGATGCAGTTTTTTTTGTTTTGTTTTGTTTTTTTAAATATATATTTTATTGATTTTACAGAGAGAGGAAGGGAGAGGGATAGAGAGTCAGAAACATCGATGAGAGAGAAACATTGATCAGCTGTCTTCTGCACACTCCCCACTGGGTATGTGCCCGCAACCAAGGTACATGCCCTTAACCAGAATGGAACTTGGGACCCTTGAGTCCACAGGCCGACGCTCTATCCACTGAGCCAAACCGGCTAGGGCTAGGATGCAGTTTTTTTTTTGTTTTTTGTTTTTTACAGTGTAAAATTTTTATATTTAGAATTAGGCAGCTGGACTCAGTTTAGATGATTCCAATTTTGTTGGCAACATCCAAAGCATCATAGTCAGGAGCCAGTCGAACATATGCCTTCTTCTCGCCATCAGGCCTGATCAGGGTGTTGACCTTGGCCACATCAATGTCATAGAGCTTCTTCACAGCCTGTTTGATCTGGTCCTTGTTGGCCTTGAACACAGTGAACACCAGTGTATTGTTGTCTTCTATCTTCTTCATGGCTGACTCGGTGGTCAGCGGGAATTTGATGATGGCATAGTGGTCAAGCTTGTTTCTCCTGGGTGCTCTCTTCCGAGGGTATTTAGGCTGCCTCTGGAGCCTTAGTGTCTTTGGCCGTCGGAAAGTGGGTGACGTGCGGATCTTCTTTTTTGTGTGGCTGTGGACGCCTTTCAACACTGCTTTCTTTGCCTTCAAAGCCTTTGCTTTGGCTTCGGCTTTGGGAGGGGCAGTCGGCGCCATCTTCGTAAAAAAAAAAACACACAAAAAAACCCAAAAACAACAACAACAACAAAAACTAGGATGCAGTTTTGATCCCCGTTGGGGTGCATGCAGGAGGCAAGGAAGTTTTTCCCTCTCACATCATTGTTTCTCTCTCTCTCTCTCGCTCTATCTCTGGCTCTCTCTCTTCCTTTCTCTCTGAAAATCAATGAACATATCCTTGAATGAGGATTAAAAATAAGTCAATTATTCATTTGTGTGTCTATACCTCTCCTCCATTAACATGTGAATCCTAGTACCTGGCGAAGTGCCTAGCATACAGTAGACGTTATATACATGTTTATTGAATTAAATGAACAACTTCTGTCTGTGCATATTTTTTACTAACTATTATCATGGTTGGTAATTTAAAGGTATTTAATAAAGTATTTTACTTTTTTATACAATAAGAATGTACTGAGTGTCTATAGTAAGCCCTGGACCATTCTAAATACTATTAGAATTCAGAGGTAGTAGCATGGTCTCCTTTCACTAGAGTCTTCAATCTAATTGAAGAAATAAAACAAGTACATGTATCTAGGTTTGAGAATGGTAAGTGTGTGTGTATGGGAAGGAGTCTTGTAGACTCTATTGCATGTATCTAACTTATGTAGGGAACAAGAGTTGTCTAACACTTTTTTCTATTTCTTCACCTTCTACTTATCCCTAAATTCATTCCAATCTGGATTCTGCTCCTACCACTCCTTAAAACCACATGCCCTCCATGTTTGTTGCTAAATTCACTTGACACTTTTTAGTTCTTGTTGACCTATGAAAGTTTTGTTACAGTTGACTATTATCTCTTTCTTGAGACACTTTCTTCCCTTGGCCTCAAAAAGTCTACATTATCTGGGTTTCCCTCCTACATTTTTTGTGGTGTTTTCTTTTTTTCTCATTCTTTGCTGGTTCTTCCTCCTCTCCTAATCTTTAAATGTTGAAGTTCCTCAAGGTTCAGTCCTAGACCTTTTCCTCATTTTATTCTATGTGTTTCATCCACTCAATGGATAGTACATGCTTTCATTTCTAAGGCTGAAGATACTTTCTATATGCGAACGACATCTCTTCTTAGATTCAGATCCTATAGTAAACTTTCAATATCTGGCTGTTTTTCTCACAGGAATCCCAAATTGAACTAGTTATTTTCACATAATCATGTTCCTCCTACAAGGTTTTCTTGCTCAGTATAATGGAGCAGCATACACCTGATTTCTCACATCAGAAATGAGAATTACCCTTGACATCTCCCCTTTCTTTTTTGACCACCATAGAGTCCGTCACTAAGGCCTGTTAAATCTACCTTCTAGCCCTGGCCGGTGTGGCTCAGTTGGTTGAGCATCGTCCAGTGATTGAAAGGTCACCAGTTGGGTTGGGGCGTGTGCCCAAGTTGTAGGCTTGATCCCCGGTCAAGAAGCAGCCAATCGATGTTTCTCTCTCACATCCAGGTTTTCTCTCTCTCTCTTACTCTCTCTTACTCTCTCTCTAAAGCAGTGGTTCTCAACCTTCTGGCCCTTTAAATACAGTTCCTCATGTTGTGACCCCAACCATAAAGTTATTTTTGTTGCTACTTCATAACTGTAATTTTGCTACTGTTATGAATCGTAATGTAAATATCTGATATGCAGGATGGTCTTAGGCGACCCCTGTGAAAGGGTCGTTCGACCTCCAAAGGGGTCGCGACCCTCAGGTTGAGAACCACTGCTCTAAAGTCAGTAAAGACATATATTTTTTTAAATCTATCTTCTAGCCTGGACAGTGTGGTACAGTGGTTGAGCATCAAACCAGGAGGTCACGGTTCGATTCCCAGGCAGGGCACATGCCCAGGTTGCAGGCTCCATCCCCAGTAGGGGGCATGCAGGAGGCAGCAGATCAATGATTCTCTGTCATAATTGATGTTTCTATCTCTCCCTCTTCTTTCCTCTCTGAAATCAATAAAAAAATATATTTTTTAAAATCTACCTTCTAAATATCTCTCAAATCTTATTCTTTTCTTTCTATCTCTACTGCCTCCACTTTAGTAAGTACATTATCTCTTGTTTGGACAACCTCAGTACCCTCCTGGATTTCCTCTACATTCACTCCTACTCCTGCCCAGTCCAGTCTCCACACAATAGCCAGTGATCTTATTATAGCATATATCACAGATTATGTCACATAATATAGGTCATGTTAGTCCACTGTGTGAATCAAATCAATAGTTGCTTGTTAGTTTTAAGGTGAAGATACCAAATCCTTAATATTGCTCCTTCAATTTTTTAAAATTTTATTGATTTTTAGAGAGAGGAAGGGAGAGAAACACCGATGTGAGCGAGAAACATCTATCGGTTGCCTCCTGCACATGCCCGACTTGGGATCGAATCCAAAATCTGGGTATATGCCCTGTCCGGGAATTGAACCCAAAATCTTTTTGGTGTATGGGATGATGCTCCAATTAACTAGGCCACACCGGCCAGGGCACTCCTTCAGTTTGATAATAGAAGTAAATCTTATACTTAAAAATCCCCTAGAAGACATATTGATTTTAAATTACATTAAAGTTCAGATAATTTCCTGAGAGTTGATTTTGATAGAGAAAAGGGAGGCAAAGGGTATAAAAGCTGAATGTTCACTTAATAATTATGTATTATGCAATAAAAGTATGTTTTATGCATTCTTGTTTTTATGCAGTTTTTATAATAAAAATTTTAACAATATAAACCCATGAGTTCATAAAGATATTCCCATAAAGCAAAAATAAAAAAAAAAGATAGAAAAAGTGAATTAAAAATAATCATCTGATATCATTGCGTTACTGGAAGTAACTAGGGTACCGACTCCATACTCTACACAGTGACATTCAAATAAATACATACATACATACATAAATACATACATAAATAAATAAATAATTGAGCATTTGTCCTGCATTTCCAGTACAAACTGTATTTCAGGGTAACCAAATGACCCTGGTTATTTAGGGAAAATCATTCATTTATAGAATATGAATGCCAGCTAGTAAATATGGAAGTAAACATAGAATTAGAAAATTCACCCTTTACATCCTCTAATAAAATAATTTATTCAGGCAAAGATAATCAGTGGATGAAAACTCAGATAAAATATTGATGGGGATATTTTAAATAGAAGGATTAGGCTATTGCCATCAGAACTCACTTAGTTTAGCTTTACTAAAAGTGGGACAGCCAGACCTTGTGAATCTATGATGTGATCCAATAGGAAGTACATGGCATCATCTGTGAAGTGATCTAGCAGAAACAATTGTGCTGAATCTAATCAAGTATTTTTTAAAAAAAATATATTTTATTGATTTTTTTACAGAGAGGAAGGGAGAAGGATAGAGAGTTAGAAACATCGATCAGCTGACTCCTGCAAAGATACATGCCCTTGACCAGAATCGAACTTGGGACCCTTCAGTCCGCAGGCCAATGCTCTATCCACTGAGCCAAACCAGTTATGGCTAATCAACTCATAGAGCCTTTAGAGACGCTTAACTTTCATTTATAGGAAATGCAGGAGATAAAGGGATAAGTCAGAACAAGTCACGAGAAGACAATAGCCAAATGCAGAGTGTGGGACATTGAACAGGACAAATTATCTGGTTCTGCAACAAATCAGTGGTGGAGTGGAATTAAAAAGGTGGGAGAGGGGGATTGCCCTATTTTAGAAGAGATTTTGACAACTACCAGATATAACAATAGATGTTATTTGGATCCTGATTCAAACAAAATTAATGTAAAACATTTTAGAGATAACCAGGGAAATTTCAATATGGACTGGTTATAAAATGATACCAACAAATTGTTTTTATTAATTGATCATGGTAGTGTGGTTATGTAAGAAAATTATAATGATTTTTAAAGATGCATGAGAAATATGGTTGGTTAAATGAAATAAGGTATGAAATTTGCTTTAAAATAGCAAAGAAAAAGGGGGGAAAAGGTAGATAAAAGATTGTGGCAAAAATTTGGTAGTTGTTGAATTTTAATAATAGATATGTGGAGTTTATACTGTTTTCTCTTTTTTAGTATGTTTGAAGTTTTCTTAATAAATTTTAAAGGATATGTAGAAAGAGGAAATTGTGGATGCTAAAGACCAGTTTTATCTTCATATTTTATTCTGTATGACCTTAAATAAAAAGTCATAAAAATTTTATATTTTTGCCAATATAAAGGGCAAGGGACATTCAGGAAAAGATAAAAATCAAACTAAAAAGCTTCTGCAGAGCAAAAGAAACCATCACAAAATGAAAAGAGAATATATATGGAAGAACATACCTAGTATTCACCAATGATGCATCCAAAAAGGAGTTAATTTCCAAAATATATAAAGAACTTACACAACTTAACACCAGGAAGACAATCTAATTAAAAAATGGACATAGGACCTGAATTGACACTTCTCCAAATAGGACATACAGATGGCCAATAGACATAAAAAAATGCTCAAGGTCACTAATCACCAGTTTTAATGCAAATTAAAACTACAGTGAGGTATCACTTCACAACTGTCAGAATGGCTACTATTAATAAATCAACAAACAGTGCTGGCGAGGATGTGGAAAAAAGGGAGCCCTAGTGCACTGTTGGTGGGAATGCAGACTGGTGCAACCACTGTGGAAAACAGTATGGAGTTTCCTCAAAAAATTAAAACTGGAACTGCCTTTTGACCCAGCAACCCCACTTCTGGGAATATCCGAAATTACTGAAACACCAATCAGAAAGAATATATGCACCCTTATATTCACATCAGCGTTATTAACAATAGTTAGGATCTGCTAACAGCCCAAGTGTCTATCAGTGGGTGAGTGGATAAAAAAGGTGTGGTACATTTACATAATGGAATACTACTCGGCTGTAAAAAAGAAGGAACTCTTACCCTTGCAACAGCATGGATGGACCTGGAGAGTATTATGCAAAGAGAATAATCCAGGCAGAGAAAGACAAGTACCATATGATTTCACTCATGTGGAATTTAATGAACAAACT